GTTTAGTCAACATGGCGGCTACAGCTTTGGTTTGGATTCAGCAGCTGAAGAGTTTAGTTATCTTCTCCCACATCATGTAGAATCAATTCTTCTCTAGCTTGCATCAGCTCTGGCTCTCCTCATGCTGCTAACCAGTGAAGTATTACAGTAGCACAGTGGTTTTTGTTAGCTTGCTCACTAGCGACTTTTGAGAGCAAACCAAAGCAGTAAAGTCACCTGGCTGCAGTGAGGTACAGGTTTACTCTATTACACCGTGGTACCACAGAACACCAAAGTTAAACAAGTCATAAAAGGCAGACAGAAGGACAAGGACTGACTCGATCTGCAGGGCGAGTACTCGACTACTCTGTCTCCTTTCTTGAGGTAACACGTTCCCACCGGTTCGCGCTCGGAGACGCCGAAGGTCGACCACTGGTACAGCGGAGCGCAGGCCTGGAAGACACACAGAAATACAAACATCTGTACATATACAGGGAACAATCCAAAGCCTGCAGCTCATTTTACAACACGAATATGTCAAATGAGGCGTTCCAGATTATTAGACTGTTTGTGACGCTTCAGTATACGTTTAACTGGAATGAGGAGGAGATGACGTGAAGGAAAAATAATCTCTACTGTCACCAACATGCTGCTCATAGTAGAATTTTAGAGGGTATTTTAAAATTTCTAAGGTCATTAGATGCAGCATAAAATACTGCAGGGCCTTTACCTTCTTATTAAAGTAAAAATAATACTAATAATACAAAGAAAACTGAACTAAACACTCACTAACTAGCAATTAAAATCAATTTAACTTCATCTGCTCACTGTTAAATTGACAGAATCTGAACATATCTACTCCACTGTTACCTGCTACCTTTATTTACTGAAACCTTACACACGTTTTCATACAACTGCACCTTAAACGCACTACTTTAAATCTTTACTTTCTCGTATATCTTCAACATTGTGCAATATCCAGATGAATTAAACGACTGTTTTTATAGTTCCTACAGCAGTCTTTAAAAGAATAAGCTATCCCACTGTGTCTTTAATTCGTTTTTATTAATTTTTGCACGTTTCTTGCTGTACTTTTGAAAATGTTGTCTGATTTACCGAACGCACCGACAGGATTTCTCCTACATTTCGTCGCACGCTTCGCAATGACGATAAAAGGAAATCTATTCTATTCCAAAATGTAATATTGAATTATTTTTTTATCCGTCTACTGTTGCCAACTGCTTGCTCAAAGGAAACAGTTGGATTTGTTGGGTTTCGCTCCATTACTGAATTTCCCTTCTGGGATAAAGTATTTTTCATTTCATTCAGAGTGCGACCAAAACGCTTAAAAATGAAAGGAAGCAAAAGGATGAATGCGCAGAAAAATGTGCGCAGTTCACATGTCGCTGTGACTTTGCTTTTAAAACGACATTATAAAAAAATAAATATAAATATAAATAAATAAATGAAAATAATAATAACGTTTTAAAAATTACATTTAAAAAAATCAAAATAAATAAATAAAAAAATAATAAAAAATAAATAAAAATAAATAAATTATATATTTTTTTAATTATTTTATTTATTTGCCTTTATATTTCTACTTTTATTAGCCTTTTCTTTTATGGATTAATTTTTGAATAATACTGCTTTACACTGCCACATTATTTATTTTTTATTTTATTTATTCTTCTTTTTATTTCCACTTTCATTAATTTATTTTTGTAGTCTGCCACTCTCACCACTCCGTACACCACACACACCGACAGCATCTACCACAGTCTGCAATGTGGGGCGTTTAGGGAACGTCGGTACATTGTAGCGTCTACCGATAAGAAAACGTTCAGCAAGTGGTTTGTTTTGCCTGTGACAGGGTGGGAGGTGCGACCAGTGGAAAAAGTTCGTCTGGAGCCCTGAACAATGTCACTTGACCTTGAACGTGTGAATGTGTGAACGTGTGAACGTAAATGGTCGCACTACGAGCAAAACAACCCGCTCGCAGTAAAAACAGAGACTTGAAGGAAAAGATTTGTCAACATTTGTTCCTGATGCTGCAGATCAAGATGCTCCACACTTAACACCATCTCCACAGGGTTTAGAGACGCAGGCAGAGGAACTGAAGTCTCCTCAGTTTGTTGTGGTGGAAATGCATCCCAGGGTTTAGGTTTACGTGTTCTCTTACCAGGATGTGTTCTCCGTCAGATCGCACCGAGGCCCCGAACCACTGCTTGGACTTAAACTCCATCTTCACCCCTTCTGGATTCCTTCTGTCTTCTGCAACAACAAAAACAAAAAATAGTTGTTTGAAATATCCAACAACTTCCAGGGTGAAAACAGGAACCAAAGAATCATCCAGCAGCAAAATCAGAGCCTCGAACTACTGCGTCAAAATAAAAGCCTGAATCAAATCACTCAGAAGTTGTTTTGCTTTCAAACACACAAATATGAGTTTGGACACGACGCTGAACAGGAAGGACTGAAGTGAAATGACTTCCTTTTCCTAAAGTCGCAGCAGCTCGAGGCTTTTCTTTTGATCTCCATTAAATCTACACTAACTTAAGAAAAGAAGGAACAGAATCAGTGGACCTTCTCTTTCATTCTTGTGAACACAAGAGGGTTGTCCACATGTTCACAAGCGGATGTTTACCTGTCAGTCAGACCAAAACAAAAGCTTTTAATAAAGCAGAAGTTTGCCAGTGAGGGAAGACTGACGATTGCTTTTAATAATTTAAAGTGGCGTACTTGTAGGGCCATATCGTAGCGTGCACGGTAATAACAGTGTAATGTTAGGGGATCATATGGAACTGAAATATCGCAATAACGTTTGATTGAAAGGCGCAGGGACGTTGTTTTGGTCCAGTCTGATGCACATGAAGCCAGAAACACGGCGGAGGATGAATGCATCGACCGACACAGTCGGGCCGGAACCGGATATCAGAGTATTCAGTCGTTGTGGTGTCCGGACAGCAATACTGAGATCTGAATGTTTGCTCGCCACCCACAGCTGCTAAATGGAACAGAGACTGTTCTTTGTCTTTTTTTTTTTTTTTTGCACCAATAAAGTTGTGCAGCTTTGAAGTCTTTTGTCTGGTGTCAATTATGTCATCAGTTATATCGTTATTGCAAATTTCCTCATTGACACCGTGGTGCATGTTACCACCCTGCCCTACATGCTCGTCTCCTGTCACTTAACTTTCCGCTCAAATGAGGATGAAGTGAGGATTCAGGCAGCAGCCTTATGACACACAGCTGAGGCTATAAATGACTCGGCGGCGCTTTAACGGTCTCCAGCATCTAAATCTGACGACAGATGGACAGACGGGATGAATATTTGAGGAATGATTGGAAGAAAGACGGGAGGAAATCAGGCACTAAAGGCTCACAGTGAGTGTAATCGTCAGAGCCAGCTTGTGTGTTTTCTGTATATTCACTGCTGCTCCTGAAACTTCCCACCGTCAGTTCATGACGAAACGTAGCCGCCGCCAGCGGATAAATATTTAAGCCGGGTTGAGATGTCACACATGGACAGTGAGGAAATGTTTGGGATTTTTTTAAAGTCCAGCCTGCTGACAAATCTCAGAGCTAAACTTGAAGTCTCACAGCTAACGTTTGGCTGATGGAGCAAAGAGCAGTTTCATCAGACGTGGCTGTGGACGCAAGCTCAACAAGGATTAGCTTCCCCGAGTTATTTCATCCCTAATCTGTAATTATGGTGGTGAATCAGCCAAGCGGTTTCCTGCCAGCTAGTTACCGTCGCCATGACAACCGACTCGGCCTCTTTGTTTATGTTTGTCAAAGGAGGGCTTCGCGCCTCAACCAATGAAATCAGCTCATGTCGACATCACCAGAAGCAGGACTGAGACTCCAGAGCAGCTCGAGGGGAGCAAGACGCTACCACTGCTAATGTTGCAGCTACTTAGTGTTAGCATGCTAGCACTGGCTAACCAGGTCAAGAATCACAATCACGTGCTAAAGTCATGGCGGCACTGGAGGAAAAGTAGAATTCACTCGATCAGATGCTACAAAGCAGGAAACCGAATTAGCTCCGTAGTAATTTAAATTAAATAAAGACGTCTTTATAGATTTAATGAGCTTAGCGTGGATGCAATCTGAGCGTGTAGTCCTGTATTATTAACCCTCTTGCTCACGTGACGAAGTTGAATGTTTTCTATTACTGATTCTACAAAACCTGTAAAACCCCGGTATCAACACGGACAGTTTTCACATTACTTGCTGAATGCATCTCCCAACAGCACGCTCCTCTGGTCACCGTTTCTGCTGCATGTATTTCCCTATTTTCGGCATTTCACTCTAAAAGTTGCAGCCTTTGTGGCCACGTGACTGTTGGTCGCAGCACTGTTTAGCTCAGTACTTTATTTTATTTAACGAGATCCGGTTAGTGACTTTTAAGGGCAGTTGGGAAGTAAAAAATCAGATAATTCTTCCTGTTTTTACACTTTCTGGCTGTGATAAACGGTGCAGCTTCGGCAATGATTTAAAGAAAGCATTTAAAACCTGCAGACTTCAGGTTTAGAGAGTTTAATCAACAGAAATAAAACATTAAACCAGACAGACATTAAAGAAGAAGAGCGAAGGCGTTCTGATATATTTTTATATCTATATTGGTAGATGCATCTTTGGCTTTTTTTTTTTTAAATTACATTTTTATTTATTTATATTTAAATTGAATTAAATAATGTATTTTTTTTTTTGCATTTTTAAAGGTTGCACTTGATTTTTTCTGCATTGTTTATTACATATTTATTTAGATTGTAAATTATGTCATATTTTATTATATATCTTATTTATTTTAACACAAAGAATGGTATTAGGAAATGAAAAGAATAAACAAAGTCACCAAACATTGTATTGAGAAAAGCAAACTGGTGTCTTGCTTTTTTTTTTTTTTTTTTTTTTTTTTTTAAATTTAATATTTTTTTTTTCACAAGCTCCAGTTGGTGACTTTTAAGGGCAGTTAGGAAGTAAAAAATCTGACAAATGTTACTGTTTTTACACTTTCTGGCGGTGATAAACGGTGCAGCTTCGGCGATTGTTTACAGAAAGAATGCTTTTAAAACCTGCAGACTTTAGGTTTAGAGAGTTTAATGAATCAACAGACATAAAACATTAAACCAGACACACATTAAAGAAGAAGAGCGATGGCGGCGTTCTTATCTATACTGGTTGTAAGTTATATTTATATCCCACACTTCCTGAAACATGCTGCCCAGCAAAGCAGAAAAATAAACCCTCCAAACCTATAAATACAGATCGCGGCATGACTGGACGAGTCACACTTCTGAAAAGAAAGAAAGGAAGAAAAAAAAAACCCCGGCAGGAACAAAAGCTTGTGGTGCATCACGGGTGAGACGACGGCCAAAAGAGAACAAACACTGAGTCAGAGTCGCATCAAACACACACACAAGAATTCCAGTTAATTCTCCTCACTGGTCCAGTAAAGCTCCGGCCAGCGGATCACGCAGGTCACGTCAACAACAAAGGCCTCCATTGTGGTAGAAAACACACACACACACACACACACACGCGCAGGGCAACATAACTAGGCCACTCGCTAGCAGCACTACAGCCGGGGGCAGCTAAGCCGTCGCAGGGTTTCACTGTTTTCTGCTCAAAGGCACTTCAGCAGACGCCCGCTGATCCAACGCCAGCTGAAGGCAACAGTAACGTAAACATCCTGCTCAAAGGCTCGGCTCTGGGAGGCTCACTCAGGCTGTGTGAGGCAAATTCACCTTTTATGGACATAACAGGCCCGGAGCACCGCGGCAGGTATTCAAGTGCTGTTGGAGCTGCGGCTGTAAATCAGGCGGCCGACGTACGGGCTGGAACGAGCCGATCAAACACATGCATGCAGCGCTACGCACCTCAGCCAATACTGTAGTAGGTCTGAAAGAGTAGCTACAGGTTTGTTAAGACTGAGAAACATCCAGCTCTGTGCTCCAGCATGCAGGAGAACAGGAGCAGGTCTCCAAGGTGAAGGGCCACGTGGAACAGGGCAGGTGAGGGAAGTCGATCCCTGGCTTCGGCTCTTTGGGTCAAGATGGGTGGATGGAGATGGAGACTCGGTTTATTTTTTTATTTTTCAACAAACATTTCTGAAATATTTGCACAATTCCTATTGCTGTTGTAAAAATGTGAACGTCATCACGGTGGGATGAATAAAGGCTCATCTTATCTACAGCGATTTAGAGTCAAACTGATTAATAAAGTCTTAATTAGGAACAACTGTAGAACCCCACAGCAGCGCTAACGTCACATCTGCCTTTAGGAAGCTTGTGTGTAAAAATACATGATGTTTTTAAATGCACCTCATCGTTCATCACAGTCCTGCTGCTATCTGTGCACATCCCTCTGCATCTAGTAGACTATTTATATATCTTTATATTTCCTACGACTCTGATCACTGGGGCATCTTTAACCATCGGTACTGTGACAGAACAAATCCCAAACTCAATTAAAAACTCTTTTTCCTCCCTTGATGCACCAAATCCAGTCTGTACATGAGTCCATGTGTGCACTGTGAGATGTCACGACGCTGGACTCTGCTGTGTGACCACCTACGATGATGAAACAGCTGCAGAATTGCATCAGTGGATTCCTGAGAAGTCGGTCTTTGAGTAACTTTCTTCTGAAGGAACCGCCTCAGAAGTGAAACCGAGCCGTTGCGCGACAGTATTGGGCCATGCCGTCTGGGTTGTGTATGCGGAGCGAGCTGTCGCCTCACAGTGTGGCGCGTTCGCTGCTGCTTCCCACTTCGGAGGCTGAGCTCTCCCACAGAATACCAAGCAGCCACACAGCGTCACACAAACACACAGTGGTGGGCTGTCGACACTTCTCTGGTCCAGCGCCTCAGCTTTCTGACGTTTTCTCTCTTTCTTGAACGGACTCCCGACAGAAAGATTTAAATCCAGTCGATGGATTAACGACGTGTTTGGGATCAGAAAACTCTGAACAAAGCAGAACCTGAGCTTCATAAACGACTGGACTGTGTGGGTGCTCATAACGAAGCTCGTCATTTGTGGAACAGGAGGAGTTACGAGGCTCTAAATCCAGAGAGATGAGCTCTCAGTTATACTGGATTTATAACTGTTGATGCTTTTAATTGTAGTTTATGAGTATGTATATATGCACAGTGCTTATAAGAGCCTTTCAACATTAGTTCTGGTCTGTGGAATCTGGATTTCTTGACCAGAATTTCTAAAAAAGAACAAAAAAAAGACTTTCATGCCAAAGTGAAAACCCATTTCTACAAAATAATGTCAATTAATTATTATTTTTTTATTTTTAAAGAGAGATTTCACAAGTATTTGCCTCCTTCAAGTCAAACATGTAGAAGAAGCATCTTTGGTTGTAACTGCAAAACACTTATTTTATTTTTATTTTATTTTGTTGTATTTATTTATATTTAAACTACATTTAATAATTTTAAAAGGTTGTGCTTGATGTATCTATTTTTTATGAATTATTTATTACATATTTATTTACACTGTAAATGATGTCATATTTAATTTTATTATTATTAATATTATTTTTTATCTATTTATTACAAAAAATTATGGAAATAATTTATATACAGCGCTTATAAAAAGAGTCTTTCAGCATTATTTCTGGTCAGTGGAATTTGGATTTTTTGACCAGAATTTCTGAAAAAAAACAAAAAAAAAACCAGACTCATTCATGCCAAAGTGAAAACAGATTTCTAAAAAATAATGTCAATTAATTACTAAAAAATAAGAGATTCCACAAATATTCACCTCCTTCAAGTCAAACATGAAGAAGAAGCATCTTTGGTTGTAACTGCAAAACACTTATTTTATTTTATTTTGCTGTATTTATTTATATTTAAATTACATTTAAAAAATTTTAAAAGGTTGTGCTTGATATATTTAATTGTTTATGCATTATTTATTACATATTTATTCATATTCTAAACTATTATTTTAGTTTTTTATTTTTAGTATTTTTTTTTATATATAAAAAATGATGGAAGTATAAACAAGTACAGAATAAGCACAGTATTGACAAAAGCAAACTGTTGTCCAGCAGCTTTTCCTCCGTTTACGTCCAGTTTTGCTGCAGATTTTAACCAAAAATTGTCAGAAATATAAGAAATAATTCACAATTTTATCCACTGCTGCTGTGTACATATGACATATTATTAACTCCAGAAACAGGACACAGCAAATATATTAAATTCAGCTTTAAATGGTGAATATTTAAAAAAAAAAAAAAAAAAAACACATGATGGAAACGTGTGAGTTTATTATTTAACTAATGAGCTGATCTGATGTTTTCTTTTTGTCTCCAGTTTAGTTCACATAAGTCATGATTAAAGAAACGAGTCTGTTTTCGCTGCACTTTGCTGCATTTTCCTTTTATTGATCCTAAAACTCCTCGTTGAGATTCTTTCAGATCTTTTTCTGCATTTTAAAGCGGACGGAGACGCGGCTGCTGTTGAACAAAGTTTCATAAGACGCAGTTCGTCTCAACGAATCGGAATCTGTTCAAACACATCGAACATAAAAGAAATCTTCATTTCTTCATCTGTCAGATGTTTCCACACGAGCCGAGCTGCCCCGAGGGAACGTTTTCAGTTGCGTCATCCCCACCTGGTTCCTGCTCCGTGTTTTCTCTCAGCTCTTTACTGCGATCTGTGGGGGGGCAGCTGTAGCGCTGAAGTTTGCAGAAAACTAACAGAAGAAGATGATTTTAAGTTCAACAGAACAGAAGAGTCGGTCGCGTCCGTGTGTGGGCGGATTATGAAAACTGTTAGTCACGTTATACGGAGCGTAGCCACCGGACATGAAGCGTCTGCGGCCTTTCCTTAGAGGATCAGGCGTGTTTTGAAACGCTACCTGTCGTGTATCGCGCACCGGCTGATTTAAATCCTTTATCGTGAGGCAACAGTGTCCACGCCCGGTCGGACGGCGATAAGCCGGCAGTAAACCGTCTGGATCCGTCAGCTTCCTGTGAGCTACTCACTCCGAACGCGATCCAAAACAAACAAACGGCATCACACTGGGAGGTGTTGCCTCCGCCCTCGTGTGCACCAAGGAGGACAAAAGACAAAACTGGTCACAGAGCCGGCATGAACCGCGAACGTTCAGCGGATAGAAACGACAGCAGTGCAGAGTTATCGCGCTCTGCAAACGTCTGCATGTGTCCGAGGCGTCAGAAGAAGCCAAACAGAACCTCCTCGTCGTCACAGTGCTGACCTGATCGTCCTGCTTATCGTCGGCCTTCTCCTCAGCGTCGCTATGAAACATGCAGCCTGTCAAGCTGTTGTCATGCAGGAAACAGGCCCAGCTGTTGCTCTCTGCTGGCAAAAATAACCCTGGTTCTGTTACAGCTGATAAGAGTTCACATCCTGCACAGTCTTCTATAATTTTATATAAAAAAAAAAAAAAAATGCAATTCAGTCGATGACAAAACTCAAACTGCCTCCCAGTAGGACGCGGCTTGTTTCCAGCGTCCTATAACAACACATATTACCAAATCCCGTATTGCTTTAGCCGTAAAGCAATTAACGACACTGGTTGGAGACGGTAGCGTCGTGCACAAACAGGCGACTCTGAAAAAGGCGTTTGAAGTCCACAGACGAGTCCACACACCTCCTGCTTCGCCACACATTCCTGGATGTGTTCTGACACGAGGCGGCCGACTGAGCCGAACCCTCGTTGCTCCACCAATAACGCGAACTGGGAAAGCTGCTGCTGCTGCTGCTGCTGCTGCTGGAGGTGAAAACGACACACCAAAGCAGCTTCCTGGTTTAAAGGCGTTTTAACGAAGCAAAGCTCTAAAAATCAAACCACATTTCTCTTCGGTTATCGTTTGTTCTGTACCTGCAGTCGCCACATCTTACATATGAACTCTCACCGCTAGAGGCCTTTAAATGCTGGATTTATAATCTTTCACACACAAGAAGCAAAACAGCAACGACGCATATAACAACGTGTTGCTGCTCCAGGTCGACTGGTTGGTCCATACGCTCCATGTTTTCACTTTCAGAAGCAGAAAAGCGCTGCATCAGCACCTTCCAGGTTTAATCCATTAGTCAGGAGCAGACCACAGCCTGATGGAGACAGCTTCATAGAATTGTAGGCAAATTTTTGCAAGAAATTCTGAAAAGAAAACGCAAACGAGGGAAGTTTCCTTTAACTGCTTTGGTGCAAATGGCACAGAGTTGTAATAAACTGAAGAAGAAGCAGCTTGTCAACTTCTTAAACACCTTGAAGAAGAAGAAGACACTAACTTTGGCCATTGACGAGAGAAAGACGGAGAGAAATCGTGAGGAATTTTATTCATCTGAAGCGACAACGACGGAAAGAAAGTAGAAAAAGCCGATCGGTCATGTGAGCGAAATGTTTGCGAACTTATTCAGACAAGGTGTTTCCATCACCCACCATGGGAGTTAGCCGTTTTCTAAAGTCGTTATTTTGCAAAACGGGGTGTTGTTTTGTTTGAATGTGGGTTTTTTAGTGAAGTTTTCTCCGAGCTAACTGACTGAATGTCAAAGAAGTCGACGGACAACAATGTGTTACTAAAAAATTTAAATAAAAACGACCGAAAAATCTTTTTACGAAAGAAAGAAATGAAGAAAAACATCACGTAGCCGCATATTATTCATCCATCCATCATCTCTACACCTTGATCCTCACCAGGGTCATGGGGGCTGGAGTCTATCCCAGCTGACTCAGGGTGAAGGCAGGTTCACCTGGACAGGTAACCAGTCTATCACAGGGCTACACTTAGAGACAGACAACCAAGCACACTCACATTCACACCTACGGACAATTTAGAATCACCAATTAACCTCAACATGTTTCTGGACTGTGGGAGGAAGCTGGAGAACCCGGAGAGAACCCACACTGCACGGGGAGAACATGGAGACTCCACGCAGAAAGATCCCGGGTGTCCTCACCGGGACGCGAACCAGCAACCTTCTAGCTGTGAGGCGATGGTGCTAACCACCGAGACACCCTGTATCCCGCATATTATTCAAACAGATGCAAAAAAACCTTGAATGTTTGCGGCAGATCATCTGAAAACTGTAAGTCAGTGGTTCTCAAACTGGGGGTCCCAGGATCATTTGTGGGGTTCGCCAGAAAATAAACAAAGCCTACATTTATCAGATAAATGTGTTTTAGGGCTGTCAAAATGAAAAGTGTACTTCTTCCTGCTCCTTGTTTGAACTTGTTCATATTATGATTTGATTATATTATTTTTCTTTTAGCTCTTTTTGAAATGATTTTCTTTTGCTTTTATATATTTTTTTCCTTTTCATTTGTTCGAAATACATTCAATTCATTCATTCATTCAAAAGAAAATTAATATAAAGGGATTAATCTGTGGAATTAACACACTCATTTTTAATCCATTAATAAAGTTTTTACTGGTGAGATGTTAAAAATTCAAACTGGGGGGGTCACAAACACAAACTGATGTTATCTTTGGGGTCGTGGCTCAAACAGTTTGAGACCCGCTGGACTAACTAACACTTTTTCTTCTTCTTTGCTGATATAACTCTATTTTCTGAAACCATATGTAAACCTCCAGCTGCTCAGCTTCACCGGAAAATGATTTAAAATGCTGCAAATGCCATTGTTTTATGTCTATTTATAGCTCATTTAGGCTAATAAAGCTGGCTGATGGGTTTAGTTCATCTAGAGGCTGATGTTCTCTGGTTGCTGTTTGTGGTCCGACTAGCTGTCAGCTTCACTGTTCACTGCTGGTTCTGCTGCAGCCGAGTCAGAGCCGGATCAACTTACTGCTAACGCCAACACAACGTTCTCCTGCTGCTGCTGCTGCTGATTCACGTTAAGAAACAGGGTCAGCGGGTTCGCTCAGAAGGCTTAACGGGTCAGCCCCAGCGCCGCATCAGTGTGTTCTGGTACCTGTGTCGTCAAACTGCAGCATCTGGCAGGCGGGGGAGCTCCTCCAGGGGCAGCTGTACACCGCTCCTCGCTCCACCACGCCGGAGGACGACGTGTTGGCCCGAGGAGCTCCGATCAGAACGTCCGACCTGAGGAGGAGACGGGAGGTCGTTTAGAGAAAGAAAAAAACACACAAAGGCGGCAGCTGACAGATGTGGAGGTGTCAGGATGTTCGGTTCAGTTCTTTGTCGTCAGAGTTTCCACCAGGATGGAAAACACCAAGAAACAAGTTTGTCAGTTTCCTCAAATTCCTGCTTTTAAGGCACAACGAGGCCTCGTCGGTTCTGGTGTGTTTGGATTTTCTTCTGTTGCCTCAAATGATCAAGCTCTCAGGTGCAGGTTTAACAACCCTCTGAGCCTTGATAGTCACTGAT